ATCAAAGCCACAAGGCGTGGATTTTTAAAGAAGATTTTTTGAGGGCCCATCAAAGCCACAAGGCGTGGATTTTTAAAGAAGATTTTTTGAGAGGCCATCAAAGACACAAGGCGTGGATTTTTAAAGAAGATTTTTTGAGAGGCCATCAAATACACAAGGCGTGGATTTTTAAAGAAGATTTTTTGAGAGGCCATCAAAGACACAAGGCGTGGATTTTTAAAGAAGATTTTTTGAGAGGCCATCAAAGACACAAGGCGTGGATTTTTAAAGAAGATTTTTTGAGAGGCCATCAAAGACACAAGGCGTGGATTTTTAAAGAAGATTTTTTGAGGGCCATCAAAGACACAAGGAGTGGATTTTTAAAGAAGATTTTTTGAGAGGCCATCAAAGACACAAGGCGTGGATTTTTAAAGAAGATTTTTTGAGAGGCCATCAAAGACACAAGGCGTGGATTTTAAAGAAGATTTTTTGAGAGGCCATCAAAGACACAAGGCGTGGATTTTTAAAGAAGATTTTTTGAGAGGCCATCAAAGACACAAGGCGTGGATTTTTAAAGAAGATTTTTTGAGAGGCCATCAAAGACACAAGGCGTGGATTTTTAAAGAAGATTTTTTGAGAGGCCATCAAAGACACAAGGCGTGGATTTTTAAAGAAGATTTTTTGAGAGGCCATCAAAGACACAAGGCGTGGATTTTTAAAGAGGAGTTGTTGAGGGGCTATCAAAGGATTTTTAAAAAAGACTTGTTGAGGGGCTATCAAAGGGTTTTAAAGGAAAATTTTTTGAGGGGCTATCAATGACCCAAGGCCTTGATTTTTATAGAGGAGTTTTTGAGGGATTTTGGATTTTTTTAAGTTTTTTTTTTTTAATTTTTCTTACCCAACCGATCAGTTTGTATGGTCATCGTTCTTTGCTCTTTATCATAATCCGATTGCAGAATATATTTTGTGGTCCAATGAGAATATTGGATTTTCTTTGGTTCTTTTTTGCCAAATTTGTCCACCTTCAACTGAGATTCGGAACTAACATCGAAAACTGAAATCTCTTGGGGATCTGTGATTTGGGAAGGTTCTACAATTTGGACTTTACTTGTTTCACGGCGTAAATCGCGTTCAATATCAGGTTTTAAAATGTCACCTTTAGTTTTGGGAGTTGCAACACGTTTAGGCGTCCTTCCAATATTCCTTTCCATACTTATTGAAGTCTGCAGTGTAGGACGGTCATATTTTTTGAAAAATTGTTTCAAGCGTTTATTTTGCCATTTGGTTTTGGATTTGATGGACTTCAAATCCAAAATAAGGCGGGGTCGGCTTTTATATTTCGATTTGATGGTATTGAATAGTCTCAGCAATTCAAGAAAAGTTTTGGGAGATTTGTGATCTTCAGTCTCTTCACTGTCGTTTTCCGGAAGGTATCTGGCAATTCGTACCAATTCTTCTTTGGGATAAACGGCATGCAAACGTTCCGGATTATTTTGCATATCATTGTAGGAGAACACTTTTTTAAGGTTTTGTTTCTGAACCATATCCTCGTCATGCGTTCCATGATGTTTCCGAAGTAAAGTTCCACCTTTGCTTTTGGGTTTCTTGCGAAAGGCTTCGAGCTCTTCTTCATGTAATTCTTTGGGAAATTTCAAAGAGGAAATAATACGCGGCACACAATGCCTTTCCAAATTTCGAGCTTGTGATTTATTCAAATTCCGGAATAAATAGAAATCATCAACATTTAAGGTACCATCGGAGCTGCGGGCCTTGCGCGGTATATCGGCCTGGCTAATGCGTAAAGACAAGGAGGATTGAAAAAAGTTACCCTGTGAGAAACGTTGTGAGGCACTGAGGCGGCGTAGTTTGAACATGGAATTCCCTGCCTCGCTGGCATAGGGACGATTGAGGGGAAAATGTTCCACCACTGGATGGGTTGGGATCCCAGACAATGAAACTTTGGAAGGTAGTCGTCTGAGACCTTTGGATTTCTTCGGTGATGTTGGCATGGTAGTGGGAATGATTTCTTCCTTTTCCTCGACAACTTTTTCTGTCGTTTCATAATGACAAGCTAGCGGTTCACCCCAGTGACACAGATATTCGGGTAATTTGAAGGTCAAAACAAACCAAGGAGATTCGGGATCAGTGGATGACTTTGATTCATTGACATTTCTATCTAATTTGGACATGCGACTCAGACTCAAGTGGCTCATTAGGCGTGTGGTACGCCTTCCCATAAATCGGGATGTGGGTGGTATAAATAGCTCCTGATCAATTTTCAATTTGCCATCATTATAATGCCAGGTCATATTGAAGCGATCAAAATCCAAATCCACATGTTGGGGTTTATGGACATAGTACAATTGATAGACACCGCCCAATATGAAGAACTTTTTCAGATTTATCTACAAGGGACATTTTGAAAAAATAATATTTAAAAAAATCTTAAAAATAAATCCCTACACCTCATCACTATCCAAATCAAGAGTCTCCGGATTATAAATCATATTGATAAATGATTCGTATTGCTTTTGTTCCTCCTCCAAGAAATCGGGATAAATGTCGGGCACCATATCCGGCCCAATAATCGGAGGTTCTTTGGTGGGTTTTGTTATTTTTGATTTCTTCGATTTTTTACCATCCCCTTCCGCTTTTTGTTTTTTACCTTTCTTCTTGGCCTGTTCTTCTTCATATTGCCGCATTTGTTCTTCATAATCCAAACGTTTTTGTAGAAGTTCTTGCCGTATTCGGGTTTGTAAATCCAATTGCATTAACCATTCATTGATGAGACATTCATACAGATTCTGAATACCGGCATTTAAATTATCCACAGGGATGGAGATGATTTGGGAATAGCTTTTGGCTTTTTCACTCAAATGATCGAAATTCATGTGCAGGGCTCGTATTGTCAGATTTTCATATAACATGGTGGAGGGGATATGCAGATGTAGTTGGATTTCGTGGAAATTTGCCACTAAGCGTGGTTCACTAAGATAGGAAAAGGTGAGGTTAAAATTCACGACTTGTTTCGGAGATAGACCATGAAAAACTCAAAATCTCTCTCATGACCCCTCAAAAAGTTTCCTTAAAAATCCACGCCTTGTGTCTCTGATGGCCCCTCAAAAAGTTTCCTTAAAAATGCACGACTTGTGTCTCTGGTGGTTCCTCAAAAAATGACCTTAGAAATCGACGCCTTGTGTCTCTGATGGCCCCTAAAAAAGTTTCCTTAAAAATCCCCACTTTATGCTATGATAGCCTTTCAAAAATTGTTCTTAAAAATCCACGCCTTGGTACTCTGATAGCCTCTCAAAAAGTGTTCCTAAAAATTCACGCCTTTATACTCGAATAGCCCATTTAAAATTGTCCTTCAAAATCCACGCCTTGATGCTATGATAGCCCCTTAAAGATGGCCCCTCAAAAATTGTGCTTAAAAATCCACGCCTTTATGCTCAGATAGCCCCTCAAAACTTGTCGTTAAAAATCGACGACTTGATGCTCTAATAGCCCCACAAAAATTATCCTTCCACATCCAGGCCTTTATGCTATGATAGCCCCCCAAAAGTTGTCCTTTAAAATCCACCTTCGATGATCCCTCAAAATTTGTTTAAAAATTCAAGCCTTGATAATCTGATAGCCCCTCAAAAATTGCTTAAAAATCTACGACATGATGTTCCGATATCCCCTGAAAAATTTTTTTTAAAAATCCACGCCTTGTGTCTTTGATAGACCCTCAAAAAATCTTCTTTAAAAAACCCTTAAAAAATCTTCTTTAAAAATCGACACTTTGTGGTTCTGATAGCCCTCCTGTAGGTTCTACTTACTCCAAATGTGAAATCCTGACAGGAACATTTTTCAAGGACCAAATATGCATTTGAAAATTATCGCCAGCGAAGCAGTACTCCATGGTAATGGGATCGACAGGACTGAATTGAAAATAATCCTTGAAAAGGTTTCTTAAACAAAATTAGGAATCAAACTCACATCATGTAGGCCTCCTCGGAACACAAAATACGATATGCATAACGATTAAAAAATTCTAAAATTTCATCTTGCACACGGAACTTCAATTCCTTGATATCTTCTAAATTTGCCAGAGGACATTTGGCCACTTCTACATCATTATCGAGAAAATATTCAATGCGTTGGATAACCGCCAGGCAATCATTAATATAATAATTATATTCCCGACCAAATTCCGGTTTTATTTGATTACTCAAATGCGAACGTGTCAGATTTTTACGAAATATATTTTGAGCCAAAATACTGCGATCATCCACCGCCAAAGGCCAATCGATATTGGCCTCTAGATTTTTTTCTTCGAAAAATTTTAATTTGGTGAAAAATATTCGCAAATCTGGTGGTAAATAGGGTTTCGGCAATGGATTGCAGGTCACAAAATTTTGCCATTTATCGGCAATCAATTGTAGTTCATTTAATTTTTCCACCTGTACGAGGGCCTCTGAAAGGTGAGATCTTGAAAAAAATGCAATTTATTTGAGGAATGAGATATTACCATCAATGAAATTCAAACATATCCTCAAATCATTTAGGCGATTAGAATATTTTTGCTCCCTGGCCTTCACTTCATCGAGGGTAATGAATTCATAAACTTTTTCCGGTGGTCCTTTGGGAGTTTTCTCTTTTTTCCCCTTTTTGGCTTTTGGAGGCATTTTTTGAATTTTTTTTCGGTAAACAATATTTTCAGTTTTGACTTTTATTCCAGTACTCGGAAAATAATAAAAATTAAGGAAGGATTTTTGAGGGTCTATCAAAGGCACAAGGCGTGGATTTTTAAAGAAGATTTTTTGAGGGTCTATCAAAGGCACAAGGTGTGGATTTTTGAATAAGATTTTTTCAGGGTCTATCAAAGCCACAAGGCGTGGATTTTTAAAGAAGATTTTTTTGAGCTTCTATCAAAGGCACAAGGCGTGGTTTTTTAAAGAAGATTTTTTGAGCTTCTATCAAAGGCACAAGGCGTGGTTTTTTAAAGAAGATTTTTGAGAATATTTTATTGAAGCACCAGCCCAGTTAAGCGTTAATTTAAAACTTATATTTCGGATGCTTATCACTTATTTGGACATTCCAAATTCCCACATTGACGTCAATATATGTTGGTTTAAAAAATTCGTATAAATCTGACGCTATAAATCTCTCTACACTTTTGGTTTTAAATTGATTTAGAAAGCAACAATTGTTTAGTCATTTTAGATTCTCAATATTCTTAGATATAACATCTAAATATTAAATTACAAAAATAAAACCACAACAAAATATTTGGAGTTGAAACACATGGTAAGCCCACAAATTAGAGGTCGACTTATCAGTTACTTTTAATCTCCACCGAAAAAAATAAAATTAAACAATTTACACACAATGTAAATATTTGAAATGTCTACAATTGTTGTTGCACAAATCCGAGACGGCCGCTTCATCCATTCCAGCCACTCATTAAGTAGTGTCCAAAGATTCTTATCAATCGAAGGAAGGAAAAACAAACAAACGAAGAGAAAAAATAAAACACATTGCCGAAAGAAACCATCACTCCGTACACACTTAAGTGTGTCTAAGCGGTAGTCAAGTGGTATGTATGATGGTGTAGGGCCAATAGTTTCAAATTATAATTATTTTTTGTTCTACTTGTTTAAAATAAACACACAGTATTTCAGATTTGAGGAGAACAAACATTGTGGTTTATGAATTCTTATACGAATATCAAAGATAATCTGGAGTACTATGAACATGGGTTTCCCCCATCGAAAATAAAAATGATTATCAAGTGAAAGGTCATGGTAAATGATGAAGCTAAGAGATATGGTATTTTTTTCTCAGGTTTTAACAAAATGTTTATGTGATGAATCATATTTTTGGGGGGTGGGGGTAGAGTGATAATCTTTGACTTTTTCTCGGGCTTATCATTAGGCCAGAAAACATTTTTAAATCATTAGAATTACTACTTTTTCAATTTTCTCTTAAAATCTCCAAAAATTTAAACATTTGGAATTTTGTGATAAAAGAAAAAAAACTGAAAAAACGTGATTCTAGAAAAATTGTGGGCGTCTTTCATGTAATTAAAACCATTGTTGCATTCCATTTCATTATGGTGTTGTTGTATGTTTTTCATTTTGTTGAAAACAAAATAAATAGTACCTTTCGTTCTTTGTTTTAGAGGGAGTTGTTAAATGTTTTACTTTGGTGGATAAATATAGTATACACGCAAGGAAAAAAATAGTCAAAAACTCTCTCAAAACATTTAAACAAATTAACGAATGTGTCTTTAATAGTCCCTCAAAAAAAATCTTCAAAAATCCAGGGCACGTGGCTTCGTTGGTACCTAAAAAAATTAGTTCAAAAATCCCGGCCGCATGGCTTCGTTGGTAGATCAAAAAATCTTCTTAAAAATTGAAATTCTATAGTCTAGCGAAGAATATTATTATATAGCCCCTCAACAAATCTTCATTAAAAATCCACGCCTTGTGTCTTTGATGGGCCCTCAAAAAATCTTCTTTAAAAATCCACGCCTTGTGGCTTTGATGGGCCCTCAAAAAATCTTCTTTAGAAATCCACGCCTTGTGGCTTTGATGGGCCCTCAAAAAATCTTCTTTAAAAATACATGCCTTGTGGCTTTGATGGGCCCTCAAACAATCTTCTTTAAAAATCAACGCCTTGTGGCTTTGATGGGCCCTCAAAAATTCTTCTTTAAAAAGCCACGCCTTGTGGCTTTGATGGGCCATTAAAAAATCTTCCACTCCTTGTGGCTTTGATGGGCCATTCAAAAATCTTCCACTCCTTGTGGCTTTGATGGGCCCTCAAAAAATCTTCTTTAAAAATCCACGCCTTGTGTCTTTGATGGACCCTCAAAATTTTCTTTAAAAATCCACACTTTTTTGGCTTTGATGGGCCCTCAAAAAATCTTCTTTAAAAATCCACGCCTTGTGTCTTTGATGGACCCTCAAAATTTTCTTTAAAAATCCACGCTTTTTTGGCTTTGATGGGCCCTCAAAAAATCTTCTTTAAAAATCCACGCCTTGTGTCTTTGATGGACCCTCAAAATTTTCTTTAAAAATCCACGCTTTTTTGGCTTTGATGGGCCCTCAAAAAATCTTCTTTAAAAATCCACGCCTTGTGTCTTTGATGGACCCTCAAAATTTTCTTTAAAAATCTTCTTTAAAAATCCACGCCTTGTGGCTTTGATGGGCCCTCAAAAAATCTTCTTTAAAAATCCACGCCTTGTGGCTTTGATGGGCCCTCAAAAAATCTTCTTTAAAAATCCACGCCTTGTGGCTTTGATGGGCCCTCAAAAAATCTTCTTTAAAAATCCACGCCTTGTGGCTTTGATGGGCCCTCAAAAAATCTTCTTTAAAAATCCACGCCTTGTGGCTTTGATGGGCCCTCAAAAAATCTTCTTTAAAAATCCACGCCTTGTGGCTTTGATGGGCCCTCAAAAAATCTTCTTTAAAAATCCACGCCTTGTGGCTTTGATGGGCCCTCAAAAAATCTTCTTTAAAAATCCACGCCTTGTGGCTTTGATGGGCCCTCAAAAAATCTTCTTTAAAAATCCACGCCTTGTGGCTTTGATGGGCCCTCAAAAAATCTTCTTTAAAAATCCACGCCTTTAGTAGCCCCTAAAAAATCTGCTTTAAAAATCCACGCCTTGTGGCTTTGATGGGCCCTCAAAAAATCTTCTTTAAAAATCCACGCCTTGTGGCTTTGATGGGCCCTCAAAAAATCTTCTTTAAAAATCCACGCCTTGTGGCTTTGATGGGCCCTCAAAAAATCTTCTTTAAAAATCCACGCCTTGTGGCTTTGATGGGCCCTCAAAAAATCTTCTTTAAAAATCCACGCCTTGTGGCTTTGATGGGCCCTCAAAAAATCTTCTTTAAAAATCCACGCCTTGTGGCTTTGATGGGCCCTCAAAAAATCTTCTTTAAAAATCCACGCCTTGTGGCTTTGATGGGCCCTCAAAAAATCTTCTTTAAAAATCCACGCCTTGTGGCTTTGATGGGCCCTCAAAAAATCTTCTTTAAAAATCCACGCCTTGTGGCTTTGATGGGCCCTCAAAAAATCTTCTTTAAAAATCCACGCCTTGTGGCTTTGATGGGCCCTCAAAAACTCTTCTTTAAAAATCCACGCCTTGTGGCTTTGATGGGCCCTCAAAAACTCTTCTTTAAAAATCCACGCCTTGTGGCTTTGATGGGCCCTCAAAAAATCTTCTTTAAAAATCCACGCCTTGTGGCTTTGATGGGCCCTCAAAAAATCTTCTTTAAAAATCCACGCCTTGTGGCTTTGATGGGCCCTCAAAAAATCTTCTTTAAAAATCCACGCTTTGTGGCTTTGATGGGCCCTCTAAAAATCTTCTTTAAAAATCCACGCCTTGTGGCTTTGATGGGCCCTCAAAAAATCTTCTTTAAAAATCCACGCCTTGTGGCTTTGATGGGCCCTCAAAAAATCTTCTTTAAAAACCCACGCCTTGTGGCTTTGATGGGCCCTCAAAAAATCTTCTTTAAAAATCCACGCCTTGTGGCTTTGATGGGCCCTCAAAAAATCTTCTTTAAAAATCCACGCCTTGTGGCTTTGATGGGCCCTCAAAAAATCTTCTTTAAAAATCCACGCCTTGTGGCTTTGATGGGCCCTCAAAAAATCTTCTTTAAAAATCCACGCCTTGTGGCTTTGATGGGCCCTCAAAAAATCTTCTTTAAAAATCCACGCCTTGTGGCTTTGATGGGCCCTCAAAAAATCTTCTTTAAAAATCCACGCCTAGTGGCTTTGATGGGCCCTTAAAAAAATCTTCTTTTAAAAACCACGCCTTGTGGCTTTGATGGGCCCTCAAAAATTCTTCTTTAAAAATCTACGCCTTGTGTCTTTGAAGGTTCCTCAAAAAATCTTCTTTAAAAATCCACGCCTTGTGTCTTTGAAGGTTCCTCAAAAAATCTTCTTTAAAAATCCACGCCTTGTGGCTTTGAAGGTTCCTCAAAAAATCTTCTTTAAAAATCCACGCCTTGTGGCTTCGATGGGCCCTCAAAAATCTTCTTTAAAAATCCACGCCTTGTGGCTTTGATGGGCCCTCAAAAAATCTTCTTTAAAAATCCACGCCTTGTGGCTTTGATGGGCCCTCAAAAAATCTTCTTTAAAAATCCTCGCCTTGTGGCTTTGATGGGCCCTCAAAAAATCTTCTTTATAAATCCACACCTTGTGGCTTTGATGGGCCCTCAAAAAATCTTCTTTAAAAATCCACACCTTGTGGCTTTGATGGGCCCTCAAAAAATCTTCTTTAAAAATCCACGCCTCGTGACTTTGATGGGCCCTCAAAAAATCTTCTTTAAAAATCCACGCCTTGTGGCTTTGATAGACCCTCAAAAAATCTTCCTTAAAAATCCACGCCTTGTGACTTTGATGGGCCCTCAAAAATTCTTCTTTAAAAATCTACGCCTTGTGGCTTTCATGGGCCCTCAAAAAATCTTCTTTAAAAATCTACGCCTTGTGGCTTTGATGGGCCCACAAAAAATCTTCTTTAAAAATCCACGCCTTGTGGCTTTGATGTGCCCTCAAAAAATCTTCGTTAAAAATCCACGCCTTGTGTCTTTGATAGCTCCACAAAAAAATCTTCTTTAAAAATCCACGCCTTGTGGCTTTGATGGGCCCTCAAAAAATCTTCTTTAAAAATCCACGCCTT